GAACTTAAAAAAAAAAGAGAGAGAGGCAATGTGCTCAGCTGTAACATGACCTTTTGCTGGTCTCCCTTGCTGAGCAACATGGCCATGTGAATGCGTTCTGGCAAATGGAATATAATAGGAATTGTTGGGCAGTGCTTTAAAGAAGGCTGCTTTCCCTTTTTCCTTCTTGTTTCTGCCTGGAGTATGAGTGTGATGGCTGGAGCTTCAGAAGCCATCTTGTAAGCCGGAAAGCAAACTGAGATCCTGCCTGGCCTTTTCAAGGAGAATTGTTAGGTTTCCCCAAGGCTGTTGTTCTCTTGGGGGGCTTAGCAGGCAGCCAATTAGATAACAGTCTATCTCAGAGCCTCTCAGCTCTCCCATTTCAATTTGCATAGCTGTCCTCTGTTTCTGGAACGCTCTTCCTAACCCAGTGAACCGCCACTCACATTTTCAGACTCAGCTCTAGAGTGGCCTTCTCCAGGAAGCCCCTTATCCCTGCTCCCAGCTAAAGTGACCACCCTGCTTGGCCTTTCCAGTCATGTCCTGGCAGAAGGCCGAGTCTGTTGTGGGAATTGCTGTGTCCTTGTAGGTGTGCCTGTCCCTGCTCTGCATGCATGAGGACTGTAACTGCTTCCCCTCAGCCTCTGCAGCTGGTGAGCTGCAGCAGGCTCCCAGGATGCCCGTGGACATGACACTTTGCCTCGACCGCCTCATCTGTGATGTGGGCTGATCACTCTCACAGTCCACGGCAGGGGCAGCAGCCCATCAGTGCCTGTGGCTTCCCTGACATGCGGCCTGTTCAGGTCCTTCTCTACTGAAGGCTACCCTTCCTAGGCTACCTGGAATCCCCGGGGTCCCTTCCCAGGCCAGTCTCAGCCTGATGATCCCCAGGAAACCCTCCAGTCCTCACAGGTGCTCCACAGAGCGTGCAGACTTTGAGCTTGCTTAAACCTGCCATTCACACATAAAGCCTCCCCTTGGGCATGTGAGTGACAAATGCCCCAAATGCCCCAAATGCTGGATTCCCTTACAGAGACGGTCTCTCTCTTCCTGAGAGGGGCCCTTCTTCCCTCTAGGCCCTGCCCTGCTGGTCCACATCCAAGATGATGCTCACCTTCCCCTTGTGCCCCCTCAGACCCTGTCCTGAACCACCTGTGTCTACAGCTGCCTGTCCACCCTCCTCTGTGCCCGATTGGGATCCTGCTACCTGTTCAGGGCTTCAGGCTTCCTTCTTAGTACAGCCCAAGTGTGTCCACCTGCTCTCCCTGGCTCCGCCCATCCCCAAACCCAGCTCTCCCAGGACCGTCTTCCCTCCCAGCTCATACCCTCCAGAAGTGTTCTGCACTGCTGGCAGGACCCAGTCCCTGCACCCAGGCTGCATGCCAGACCATCCTCTGCCAGGCTCCTGGGCTCCACACACCCTGCTTTCAGGCAGTCACAGCCCTGCTACTAGAAGAGCTGGCTGTGCCCTGGCACCCTCCCTCGCTTTCTGCCTTGAGGGCTCTGCTCCTCCCCTCTCCATGTTGCACGCCCAAGCCCAGCCATCCTGAGCCTCAACCTTAGCTCTGATGCTGCCTCTGACAAGCTGCCTTCCTTGAAGAGGAGAACCCTGGTCCCAAAGCCCCAGAGCACTAGAGCTGAGTCTCTTTCTCTTTCTCCAGACAGCCTCTCTCCTTGTGGCACAGAGTTGGGGCTTCTTCACATCCCAGCACCCTCACCCTGCCTGCCCCAGGTCACACACCGAGCTCAAGGCCATACCCAGAGCAAGAACGACAAGAGAGTCTATGGGCTTGGCCCAGAGCTCCACCTGGAAGCACAGGAATGATTTCTCCACCTTTCTTTGGGGCCCAAGAAGGCTCAGTGGTGTATTCCGCCCACCACTGTCCTCCTGGTCACAAGGTGACTGGACCCAGAGCGCAGGTTACTCCATCGGGACGTGCTGGGCCACAATCCAGGCCTCACAGAGGTGGCTCTGTCGGGGGGCTCGAAGCCCCACCTCACTCCTTCTGGGCACCACTCAGATTATAAGGCCTAGGCCAGATCTTGGCTTCTGGCCAGCTATTTCTTCTGTCTACTCAGGCCTCAGCCCCAAAACCCCCTTTCCTCTGAGCAATCCGTGGGGGCAGCCAAGGCCATTGTGCTCAAACCCTCTTCTGCATGGTTAGGAGGCATGGCAGGAACCAGAAAGGATAATGCCACTCCCAGAAGATGGCACCTCCTTCTGGCACTGCCCACTAGCCTGGGGGATCCGTGGTAATGCTGTGAGGGGCTGCCTCTGTTTGTTTTTGTGGGAGGAGGAAGTGCTGGCTATGGTACCCCAGGGTACTGGGGGCCTGCTGACAGCTTTCCACTCGTTTCTCCCTGAATTCCATCATCCCTGACACCAGTGCTGGGTGAAAACAGGGGTGATCCCAGCCCCTGTTCCTTCCTTTTTTCCATCTCTACTCACAGTGAACTTAAGTCATTTTTATCAAATTCCCTAAAAATGTTTCATTATAATTTTCACTAAAATAGCATATTATGCTCCTAAATTCCTCTGGGAACAGTTGACATTGTGCTCTAGACTTTTATATTTTCAAATTTCTCTTAATCTAATAACAAAAGTTTTATAGTTTCATGGGTCAGCACATTTTTGTTACAGTTATACATGGGTATTTGTTTTTTTGTTGCTGTTGTAAAGAGAAAGGAATCTGTCATGTTTATTTCCACCTCCTTTGTTTCTACCTATTTATTGCAAAACATTCCCATAATCATTTACCACAATCATTCCAGACCTACTGTTTGCCCACTTCTGAGGGATCCCTTTGAGAGTAAGTTTCACATTATTAGCCTCTGTTTCCTGATGGATCTAGCAATACTGTTTCCCATGAACGTAATGAGCATCCACAGGGTAAGGGGAAGGAGAATCCTCAGCATGGAGGGAGAGTTTGGCTC